ATACTATAATACTATAAGAAAATGGTGACAATTGTCCACAGAGAACTAGAGTGCAAAGTTGAGAAAGTTAAGCATATGAAGTTGGAGGTCATGTGGCCGAAGACCAAAAACAATATGAACTTCCAGCCTGAATAAACCATTACTGATCAGTCCACGTTAATCGTTAATTGTTTTGTGAAGAATAAGGATTGGGGGAGGGGGAGGGGTGGGCTTATTAACTTTCCTCCTCTGAAAAGGAGGGGCTTAATAGAGGATTTACGGTATACACACAGCCCGCTGACTGGCTGGTTTCAATTTATTTCCCACCAAAATCCTTTGACTTTTCTTTAATATTGCTGGTAAGCTTCCTTAAAGAGTTATTATTGCTAACCAACCTTCAAGGCTATGCATAATTTGTACGAGAATTCTGATTTCAATTGCAAAAGGATAGATATAGCTGACCAGTTTTGTCTGTATATACATAGACCACAATTCAATCACAACACACACATGTATATACGTAGTATAACTCAAAACTTGTACAGGAATAGTTCCCTACAGAAGCTCAACAGAGACAATATTCACTATGGCTTTTAAACTTCTAGCCCTATTTCTTATTCTTTGGACAGTCTTTAACATTCTTGTGTCCTTTCATAGGATTTTTGCATGCAGAGCAATAGCGAGCTTTCTTGGGGCCATCTCTGGGAGTTTTCTGGTTTTTTTTTTCCTCTTTTTCTTGTATTTGAACTCGTGCTTGCAACTGGTTCATCAGGAACTAGGAAAAAAGTGAACTGAATACAGTACAATTCAGCAGCTCCTCTAAAGGTGATAGAAAGGGTTGTGAGGATGAAAATCTTTACTCCTTTTTCCACAAAATTAATTCCTTTCTCCAATTTTTATAGAAAATAATCTACATGATATATTATAAACAGAAAAGATCACTACAGTCAAATACACAACTTATGCAGTTGTGAAAAGAAAGCCTGAAAAAATTCAGGCTTACAGGGATTCCAACCCTGATCTCTGTGATACCAGTGCAGTCCCTGTGCAGGTTGAAATTGAAATGAACTGCTGCAAGAATATGCCTGAAAACAAAAACAGGCAATATTTTCAATTAAGAGGTTATACAGTCTAAACTACAAAAACGTAATATTATTCAATAATGAAGGGCTTGGAATAACACTTTGTGAACAAACGTTCTGGATGTTTTTTTTTTCTTCCAAATCAGCTAAAAATTTTTCTATGTGGCCTCTGATTCAACAGAAAAACCTTGCCCTGCATTTTTTTGCCCGTTTTAGCTTATTCTGCAAGAAAAAATGTATGCAAAAAATGCGTTGGCCTTTTTTTGTTCAAATAAGAAACAAAAGAAACCTATTAAGTTCTTCGTTTAGCAAAATCAGCAGAGCGGGAGATTATTCTTACCAGCAATACATTCCAACATCAGAATACACTATCATCTGAATATGGCTGCCCGGAAATCTTAGCTACTACGTACAGATAAATGTCGTACCTCATCGTAAAGACTGGTCCATCTTCTGCTTTGATTTAGCCGACGACCTTGTTCCCTTTAAAACTAAGTCCGCGAAAACTCGCCTTGAAAATGATGGGCTCCTGATCGTTGATCACTAGATCAAAAATTCGATTGTTTTTAAGCGCGCACGCTGTAAAACTGGTTGGCTCCTATTTAGCTCTCCTCTGCTGGACAAAGTTCACCCATTTCCGTCCTCTTTTAATGCTTTCCTCGCGTGAGTCATCAAAGATAGGAATTCTATGAAGCCCGATACCTCTTTGGGGATCGGCTGTTCTGCTACAACCGAAAACAACACAGGCGTCGGGCATGACTCCAAAGAAGATTTCAAGAGAAGTCCGTGTTGCTCGCGAAGGTCGAGCTCCTTCGATGACGTCACAATAACACTCGGACCCACTCTCCACAGAGCTCGGTAGTGGCCGCAAGAACCGCCAAAATTTGAAACTTTGAAAAATTATAAAAAAATAAGGAAAAACGCTATGACCAAAATTTTTTCGCACAAGTAAGCAGGATGAGAAGAAGATTTCGTTCAGCGAAAAAAAAATTGGGGGGTTAGTTGCACTTTAAACAGCCTAATATGAATGTTAATGACGTGATGTACCAAATCGATTGCATTTGCCTCTCTCAAGAATAAGTAGCCCTAGTCAAAATTCTCTACAAAAACCAAATTCCGTCGAGATAAATATCGAGAAACATGCAAGGAGAACCATGGAGCAACCTTAGGGGTCCTGATAAAACGCTGAACATTTAACCCGTATAGGATTGAGTCCACGGGGTCAAAAATATAAAAATTATCCACCTTGCATCCATGCTTATCGGTCAGGTTCAGGTCAGGTTAACTGATTGGTAAACAAAAATGACGGTTACTCATGTAATTTGTTGTTTAAATCAGTAATTTTCCATCAAAGTAATCGTTATTGGCTAGGTTTTGTTTATCAGGTTAAAGAAAACTATCTCGCCTTTGGGTGCATGCATGTCTAATGAAATCGAAGGCCGGTCATTTTCCGCGAGAAAACAGCTTGTAAATCCGTTTACCTTGTGCTTTTGTTTCCTGCTTCGGAGCGGCTGAACCTTCTCCATCCGCTGTCTTCATTATGACCAAAATCAAAGCGGCAACAGCGATCAAGAACGTTACCATAATTACAGTCAACATGAAGAGCCTCATTCGCCGGGCTCTTAAGATTTCAGCTCTCAGAGCCTTCTGCAGCTTCTCAACCTCTGTTGTTGCGAGCCTGCCCTTCGTGCTTCCTTTGTAACTATACCCGTTACTAGCTGTTTGCACCTGAACATTTGTCGCTGCCTCTCCGACAATAATGTCATCGTATGCTTCCTCAACGTTGCCAGTTTGAGTGGCTCCTAGCTCTAAATAATACTCTTCTGCATTTACAGCTGGCGTCATATACATCTTGGAACGATGATCTTGTAACTATTACTTCCGTTTCCCTTAGCTAGCTGCGCTTGTTTCGAAAGTCGACTATTATGTATTGTACAGAATGCACTCCCCCATGCCTTGAGGCGGAGTTAGCAAACTACAACTGAAATTAGCCAACCGATTGACACACTAACAACCGTGCGAACGCTTGTGTATCATTTGTGACGTCATGGTTTTTAACCTCAGAGAATGAGTTCGACTTCCGTTGAAAACTAATGCGTATGAAAAGCAAATCATCCAAAACGTAGCCAAATGAAGTGACACTGATCGAGTGTCCAGAGTTAAGAAAATATCAACAGTGTGCCGGACTGCGTGAAATTTGTTGACTTTTCTTGCGTCACGAACAATTTCTAAAATTTTTTCTCGGTCACGGAAAAATCAAGTAATTCACGTTTCACGGAAAATTGACAAATAAATTCAAGTATTAATGTTTTCTATTGACTAACCTGTTTACGGTCCAAAGGCAACTCGTTATAATTACCTTGAATTTCACTCAATCAGTTTTAGGGTACCGTAAAATTCCGTGTATGAGCCCCTCCAAATATAAGCGCCCCAAAATGTTAACGCCAAAAACCCTCCGTGAAATCGCCCCTCCGAATATAAGCCCCCTGGGGGGCTTGTACTTGGAATTTGCCCTCGAATACAAAGTAAAACAAAGCAAAATTGGTAAATTTCCTTCCCACTACAAGCTAGCCCAATCGATTTTGAAACGCAAATTTCCCTCCGTACTTAAGCCCGTCCGAATATAAGCCCCTCCAAAATAAGACCCTCAAAAAGGGCCTTTGAAAAATATAAGCCCCGGGGCTTATTTGCGGAATTTTACGGTATTGGCAATGCTTCTAATGAACCAGATACCGTAAGGCAGATTTACACGTTGCAATATTTCTGCCGAAGAAACCGCCAGTTACTAGGAATTAATAATTGAGTCAAGCTCTTTGCCTAAAGAAATTCTTCGACAATAAAATCGGCATAAATGATAATAAACATCGGTTCACGCATAATTCCACCCCCACAGTCACGAGCGCTTAAGGAAAAGTGTATTTGGATGAGGTATTGCGAATCACAAATAAATAAGACCACGACATCCGCTATGCGACGCGAGGAACGTGACGTCATTATTCTGTGTGTTATCACAAGCGTTCTCCTCGTTTGGAATATAATTTATTGCCTTAATTCAAGAATTGGAATTGGAGATGAATCGAACAAATATTCCAGATTACTCTTTGTATTTCCAGTATTACCGAATACGGTCCGGGAAGCACCCAGTGTGTGACTGCGATGGAACTCTGGTCCCTTTTCCACTTGAATTCTTCTCTCTTCTCCCTTCCTCTCTTTCTACGCAGGCTGCAGGCAATTTGTTGTTCAAAAGTTGGATAGCGCTACCCAACGGATAAATCACTACCCATCGCATAAGTAGTAGGGAAACCGATTAAGCTATCCACTGGATAGTGATTTATCCGGTGGATAGCGCTATCCAACGTTTGAACAACCGGAGCCAGTTTGCTATGTTTACAGGTTAAAACTACAGGATGTATTTAAAAAACTAAAATGCATTTACATTCCCTTTGTTGCATAAAGAAGAACTTGGCACGCCTTTCGACGTCAGCCACGCAGGCTACAGGCAGGTGAACTAGACAAGTCTTTTCTTTGTCCCTGTCATCCTTTTTATTTTATTAACCTTTTTAATTGACACCTTTACATTCTACTATAATTCTGTTACATTCCTACATTCCCTTTTTTGTATAAAGCAGAACTCGGCACGATAATCCTTGTATTAAGAAAATGGGACATTAAAGTTTGACCCCCTTCTTTGCCACCACGCTGAACCCTAGCTTACTCTGAGCAGCTAGCGGTTTTGTTCGTCGGGCGCGCAAATGAGCGCCAAAGCTGCGAGTAAAATGGGCAGAAACTACACTCGTTCGCTTTGCGCGCATTTTCGCAGCTATTCTGCTAATTTGACAAGCTCTCTCGCAAACGAACCGCCAGCTACGCAGGCTGAAAATATTCAGGTTTAATTAACAAGGTGTTTTTAGGAACTTACCTATAATACACACCCTTCATTCAATCGCTACCGCAGTAGCGGACGTAGCACTTGTTATCTGGAGTGCCATTGAGATAGTAAACATAGTATTCACCGCAATTTCTAACTTGAATATATTTGAAGTAGAAACAGCACTGATTATTAAATTGGAAACAGGCCATCCTGGTGACCCTTCCATCTGCCACTGAGGGCAACTCCCCCTTCATCCAGCCATTCGCACCACTGTTACAGCTCCAGTGTGGTGGGCATGTAGTTGCCATCTGTGTTCCTGCCTCGCCTTGAAACCGAAACCACCCAGGAACAATATCTGCATCACATTCGACGCCACTTTTACCATAATTCACGTTTCGGTCAGCACTCGTCAGGTTTTTGTAATTTTGACATTCTAAAAAAAATAAACGGAAAAGCAGTAAAACAAAGAGGGTTTTGAAAACTGAGAAATTACATGACAACGCCCTTGCTTTCTATAGTAATATGCCTGCGTTTCGACGCCACTTTATGTGGCCATCTAAGCGAGACAACTATCCTGACTATCAGGCAGGGGCGTTTATAAAAGTGGGCACGACTTTCGTTTTACTAGGTAACCTTACCATCTTTCGAGCCATGTACTTGCAGGTTCTTTAGCTCTGAAAACAAAACAAAAAAAACACTAACAAAACCACACACCGAGACTGTTAAATTCAGTATTAAATCGCGGGCCGGCCACAAATCATTTAACACAGCTCTATTTCAGTTTGATTTGTGGATGAAGTATTATGGTGTTACCATTCAAATGAAACATCTTCAGCAGTACTTTCACATCATACTATTTATGTACTTCCAACTTCTGAGTCTGTGGATGAAATCCTATGGTGTTACCACTCGAATGAAGCCTTTTCATCTTTACTTTCACATTGTACTACTTATTCAATTTGTAGTTCCAACTTTTGAGTCTGTGGATGATATCCTATGTTGTTACCATTCAAATTAAACGTTTTTAGCTTTACTTTCACATGGTACTATTTATTCCTTATGTAGTTTTGACTTTTGAATCTGTGGATGAATCCTATCGTGTGACCGTTCAAATGAAACCTCTTCAGCAGTAATTTCACGCGGTACTATTAATTTAGTATGTAGTTCTACAGGTGTGTTCCTTTCGGCGAATCCAAAAACGGATTTTTGATCCGAGATTTGCCGGATTTCGCGGTCGAAAGGAACATGAAATCCGAAATTGGATTGGTAAACTTTCGCAAACGCCTGCAATATGCAATCCATGTCTTGACGGCCTCTGAAGAAATGACATGTTTTCTACTGATTTACAAATTATGCGATTATACAGTGCAGAATTTTGTGGTCGGCAGTCCGAATAGCTACGATGGAACATAAACAGATCATGAAAATAGCGCGTTAAAGTTGAAAATTATCTAAAGGTTGGCGGCCTAGTTTGATCCAGTTTCGTAGCTCGGATTTTTTATGTAGCACGATCGCGTGCCTGTCGCGTCTACAAGCGAGTTTGTAGAAAGAGAGCAGTTCATTTGTCCCTTTTACTTATTTGTGCTTTCAAGCGATCTTTAGCGACAAATAGTCAGCACATGGATATTGTACTGTACCAGGAACTATCTTCCAGTGTTTTCAGATGTTTTGCGGCAAATGGCAGCAACTAGAAGCTCTACGGGATTTCTTCAACTGAATACCGCTGGATCGTCTGACTAATTTCCAATCCATAGTCTGGATTCGGATTCTTCGGATTTCAAATCCAATGTTCTTTAATCCTTTTTCAAAAAGGATTCACCAGATCAAAAATCCGGATTTGGATTTGCCGAAACGAACGCGAAATCCGTTTTAAGCCCTAAAATCCGTTTTTGGATCCACCGAGAGGAACACACCCGAATTTGTGAGCGAAATCCTATGGTGTTACCATTCAAATGAAAACGAGTATTCTATGTTCTCCTTTTTAAAGACATTGGATTTATATGGGTCATGACCGTTAACAGCAGTCGCCATTCCACCAATTTTAGACAAAATCTGGGCGGCCATTTTACCCTTCCACATTGTAAAACGTACTGTTTTAAGAACGTGTTTATGAACGCTTGTGCTTTTTACTTTTTCAGCCATTCTATATTTTAATTTTTAGTCATTAAATTCTTTAAGCCGGTTGTTATCATTTTATTCAATTTCTTAAGTCTTTACAATTCAGTAGCAATACTGCGAAAAGCGTCCTTTCATAAACAAATTTATCCGTCGGTCCATCCGTCCGTCTGTCACGCTGGATATGTTCAACTGCAGCTTCTGCCTCTTCTTTGGTTTAGTTATGATTTAATTCGTTGACTTCGTAAAAGTATGTTGCACACAACGATAAATTGGACCAACATAAAGGTTAAAGTTAACAGCTGAACATTAACTCACCTGCGCCCTGATTTTTTAATTCTTTTTCCAAAGAATCAATTTCAGATTCCAGTTCTACGAGAGGAAAAAATGTCCTGACAGTTTGTTGTAGCACGCTTTTTATCAACCCAGTAACAAAAACCCAAAACGATTAAGCTGTTTGTGATGATTTGTTTTTATAGATAGAACTCGGATAAAGGGCAAGTGTCAGAATGATACCGGTCATCACACAGGTCATCACAAATCTTTCATGCGGCCCAGCAAGATCTAAAAGAGGCCATTACATGCACCATTGTTTATCTTTTCCCAAGACCAGAACTGCTTTTAAATCTAACTCGATGGAAAATTCTGATATATGCCCATCGATCAACTACGCTTTGAGTGTTGTAGTAGTTAGTACAGCTATTTGGTACGTCATACCTAGCATCCTTTAATGAACTACCACAGTAACTGCAAGTCCCTTTATTCAGCTCGTACCAACCAAGTTCAACATTTTACATTTTATGTTCGATCACTGGCTATCGGACCATGATTCATTAACTGCTAGGCAAGTGCTTGCGTGGGACTTAATTCCTGTCTTCAGCAAAAGCGTTTTGTAACAGTATACGTCCTTGAGGATACCTGTCCTCTGTAACAAGACGTCGAGTCATTTTGGTCCCCCCAAGTTTTGAATTGGAAAAAAGCTCGAGCTTTAATTTATGATTGCACTGCTAATGAGTTTCTGTTCGCCCTCTCTCCAGCTGTTGTATTTTGAAGATATTATCGGAATTGTCATTCCGATTTCCCGCAATCGAGATAAGAAATATTTAGTCCCCTTGGTTCAATTATACATCAGTCTGACTTACAGCTGGGAAAATACCCACCGTTAACCTTTGCTTGCAATTTCTTGAGTTCTTGAAAAAAAAAAAAGGGAACAAGAAAATGGTGAGCTAAAGTACTGGTCTATTAATATTGTCAATAATAGTTTCATTCCACGTTGACATGAATGTGTTGTCTGAACGATGTTTTCTTCTGTAGAAAAAAGAAATCGAGATAATAGGGGATAATGCACAGAATACTCAGCACAGAAAGAGTCTTTCTCTTTCAAGTGAGCTAGCTACAAATTAAGACAAAATGCAAGTCTCTATTTGTCCTTCACTTACACTTTGGTACCATTTTTAAATTTTAGCGCTTCGCGCACATTTTTTTGGAATTTGCAACTCCAATTTGGGCAAGTTGAGCCTTCATTCAAAGATCTTCCCACCCTTCTTCCCAGCCGTCCTCAGCGATCGAGATCGCTTGTCACCCGTCAAGCTTAGAAGCTTGTTGAGAGAATTCGCGCTTGTTGGGAGAATTCGTGGTTCCAACCATTTTTAGCTTTAATTCGGATAGCGCGAATTGGCCTGGGTAAGGCGTCGCCAGTCCAATGGGGCAGTCTTGAGGAAGTTGTCTGCTGTTCTCGCACGCTCCTTATGCAATTTGTAAGTTCTGAAAGCTATAAGTTGAGTGTGAGAGAATAGTGTAATCTAACCAGTACGCTTCAGACAACTTAAGTTGATTAAGGGTTTTCTTTGTTTCCTAGCCATAATTATTTATACCGGGACAAAATTATCTGCAACATACATAATTTGAAACCAAACGTATCTAAGGCCTCCTGTCTTGCTTTGAGCATCAAGTGAGAAAGGTGAGTCACTTTAAAGTGAAGCATTTTAAAACACAAAAATTTTGCTGCTGAATGATCGGTGTTTGTATATCTTTTTTGCAGGGGTATTGATTATTATGAATCATTTCTTAATCCATCACTTACGTTTCTGCACTTTCCTGCCGCCTTCTGACATACCGACTATGCAGGACATCATAAGAAGAGCTGCTATCACATGAACAGTCTTCATCTTCATACGAATCCTCACAACTGTCGACGTAAATGGGTCAAGACTGTAGAAACTTGAATTGTAAGAATTTATGGTACCGGTAGTTTTTTCTTTTTATCATAAACATTTTATTATTATCATTAATTACTTTGTAAACTTTTATGAAATTCATGAGCTTTGAAGAATTGTTAGGCCGCAAAAGTTTATGCCGACATCAAAAGCGTGCACAGTGGAAATTAAGAATAAATTAAATAAAAATAAAAAATACTATGAAATGATTTAAACGGAAAGTGCGACAACGAAAAGTACAATCTGATATCCAGAAACTTTATAAAACGGCATGAAATATAAAATAAAATCCAGTACTTGTACGCTCAGTCGTGCACGCTAATATAATAAAAGTAACCATGAAATGACGATCGATGAACAGCGAACATTTTAGACAGAAGTTATCCTCTCAAAACCTTAGAAATGACGTTTCAGAGCATCGAGATTTCAAAATTTTCTAGGGAAGAATGCCCCCACAAACCCCCTTGTGGCTCGTCAGTTTGATCCCTTGCGTGATTCGTCGTCGGTGATTAAAAAGTATCGCGATTTTACATACTCAAAAGGTTGGACAGTTTACCTTCAGTTTAGACAGGTTATTTTGGTTTGCGTCTTATATGCTCCGGGACCGTCCTAACCTACGACCACAAAAGAATGTACAAAATGGTGAGGATTTCTTTGTCACTCAGCACTGAATTTCATTATCGGTATGGAAATAACGGGAAGTCATTACTTTAAGAGAGCCGAGGTGACTATGGCTGCAGCAAATAAATTAAGACCAATTGTTTTATCGCGGTTTGTTCTTAATGTAATCTGCCCCCTAGTCGGGTGGTTTTCCTTACCGTAGCCCGATCAACTGTCACAAAAGGTCTTTTTATGCCGAAGAAAATAATGGACACTGACTCTAACACTCCTAAATTTAAGAATGCCCTAAAAAAATACTTAGCGGAATAACTAATTGCGATCTTTATTTTTCGCCTACAGGAATTATAGATGTCCTTATAAGTTCTAAAATTAAAAAAAAAAAAAACTCAGCAGATTATCGAATTTAGAGCCTTTCCTTGAGGTTGTTGTAGAGAAAAAAAAAAGAAAGAAAAGAAAACCCTTCAAGGAATAACTGAGGTCTTTTCATTTCCAATACGTGCGGGACTTTGGAATTACAATAAATATGGAAACAAAACCCAAATGATTGTCCAATTTAGAGAGCCGTTTTTCATTGCAATATCTTACTATGAAATACTCCCCGGAAAGAACTGGCACTTTGTCGGACTATTCGATGTTCTACTTTCAATCATGATTTACGAGAGCGAACAAAAAAAGGGTGAGGTCATTCCGATAATTCGCCTCCGGATGTATCAAGATGGTGATGGCTCGTAATGGCGTCATTTAGGATATAACAGGAGGATATCAAAGAAAGGTACCGCTAAATTGTCAAATAGGACTATATATATACACGCAAAATGTAGAACCACCAGAACAGCCTTCAGGTGTTATACGGAACGAATTGCAACGACGATTTTTAACGCAAAACATCATTTCAACGTTGTTGCGACATTGTTTCGAATGCCTGCAATGTTCCAACATTGCTACGCTGTGTTGTGCTAAAAACTCTAAAAGCCGT